AGTACTTATATATATTTTAATGAAAATATTAAGGATATGATTATCCTCTACTAAAAATTCTTTTCATTTTGATCATTTTGTATATACATATTAGATTAATCTAAATCTTTAATTAAGAGACAAATTGAATAATTTTAAAATATAAATTCACATTTAATTTTCATTTGAAGTCTAAAAATTGAAAAAAGTTGATGAAGATGAACTAAAAATTTAACAAATAATACAATCTTGATTTATTTTAAAAAATTTAGCAAATATTACTTACAACAAAAAATCACACTCTACTAAAACTATTACACTATATATGTTTTTTCAAATACAAATTGCTTCTAAAATATTATTGACAATTTTAAAAGAAATTGAAACCATCAAATTCTCATTTAAGATTATCCATGTCCAAAAATAAATTGAATGAAATTATTGTGAAATATAAGAAATAATATTAAATGTGATTTTAATAAATTAGTTTTTAAATTAATAAAAATAAAAAAATGAAAATTTTAAATGTAAATTCGCTCAGACCTTATAAATTCTAAACATGGTCCTACTCCAATTGCTAAATTTGCATACTTGTAATGCATATATGCATTATTATGTCGCATACATGCAATAACATGACAACATAAAATATCATTAATTTCTCACCTTTTGCGTAAACAAAATTTCTGAATTAAAATGGTCAAGATATATAGATTTAGCTGTTGGACAAAAATTGTGAATTTTGAAAATTAAAATATCAAAATTATATATTAAGAATTAAATAAAAATAATTTTTAATTTAGTTTTTAAAATTTATGATGTTTTTCTTTAAAAAAAATTGAATAAATATTTATAACCTCAAAATTTTCCCAATTGTAATCGCCCCTAATGAATATTTTTTTTAATATAATTTTGAATCATTTGTGAATTTTTAAATGAAGTCTAGTAAATAAAACCATTTTGGTAATCATAGGTTGGTTTTTCCTGCTTTTAACATGGCAAAGTCTCTGTGGGTCCTTTTCTCGTTCTCACGAACGATGGCATTGCCCCAACTTGCAGTAATAAATTATCTCACCATTTTATTATTAGGTAAGTTAAGTGAATTACAAGAAATCAGTCCAAATTAAAAACACAAATATAATTGTTCATTGTTGTTTGAAGTTAAAGTAACAAGTGCTATAAGTGCATGTTTTTTTTTTTTTTTTCTTTCTTTCTTTCCTTTTTCGGATACAAATATAGGACACATTTTGATGCCTGTCATCATAGTTTAAGGAAATGAACTATTGACTCTCGGTTCCTGATCTTGAACCACGCAGCTCCAGTGGCATCCACAGTTCATTTCATCATTAATAAAGTTTACCATACAAATATAGATGTTTCCATGTTGATAGCACCCAAAAAAAATCTTTCCAATAATTAAGATAATTATATATATATAAATTCATGTCTATTCTTTGATTTGATTAATGTGAGACTTTATTTACATTTCAACATACATTTTATATGAAGTTATAAAAAAATTATGAATATTTGAATTTGAATGCCATAAGTACATATTTGTCTACGTTGATACAACGGCTATAGCTACAAATGCGAACTCTTGTGTAAATTAGTTGAAAGTCTAATAGTGACATCTGGAGTATTAGGTAAACCATAGATGTCCCATTTTCAAAACTCCAGACATGAAAAATGAGAACACCGAAAAGTCATTCTGATTGGAATTTTTTAGGTTTCTAATGTCTTTTTCTCGCTAAAATAATAAGCACGACAAATCTTTGATTGAAAGTTTTCGATCTTTGGTTTCTTGATCACCGAATTTCAAGTATAAGATGATTTGTACATGTAAAAGGTTTTTGAATGTCAAAATTAACAAATATTTGAAATGATTTAATGTGTTATATATATCTTACGTAATTTATGAAAATTTAGTACAAGTATATTTATAAATAAAAGAATGTTGGATTCGGTTATTAAATATATTAAAAAGAATTTATTGACTTGTAACACTGAGAAATTACTATTTATAATAATTGTGATGTTGGTTGAATTATGGTTGAATACGCATTTCAATAATTATAATATCAATAATCGAATAAATAATTACTATTAAGTTATTTGTGTTTAAGATGTCTTAAATATATTTTTTATTGTAATTTTTTTTATAAAGATAAGAAAGATTACAAAGATGATTACAATAAAAATTAAATGTAAGTCATCGTGTTTTTAACTATCTCATTTCTTCTTCGTTTAATTATTAAGTTGGGATTAACGGTTCTTCTTATCGTATTTGTCGAAAGAATCATTATAAATAATAAAAATATCATAAAATAATTTAAGAATTTTAGTGTAATTTATGAGAAACTACCACGAAAGTGATTAATTAAATAATAAATGATATTCTTAAAAAATAATTATAGTTTAAAACATTAAAAACATATCTTACAAACATTTTTCAACATCTTTATAAAAGAGTTCACCAACCATGACATTAAAATAATAATAATAATAATAATAAATGAGTAGTATAGTACAAAGTATATACGCATGGTCTAAGTGGGGCCATGGTGTGGTGGTTGGGGTGGGACCCAAGACCCAAGTGTAGGTGGGTGGTCCATTAACATGATTTGTGAGTATCTGTGAATAATATATATAAGCACTTGACTCGGCATCAGTGGCCACTCACAAGAAGTCACACCGAAAACAGTTGATCGAAGAAAGCATGGGTTCAACCGGCGAGACCCAGATAACCCCAAGCCACGTGTCGGACGAAGAGGCGAACCTGTTCGCGATGCAGCTGGCGAGCGCGTCGGTCCTCCCAATGGTCCTGAAGTCGGCCCTGGAGCTGGAGCTGCTGGAAATCATGGCGAAGGCCGGCCCCGGCGTCCACCTCTCTCCGGCGGACATCGCCGCCCAGCTCCCGACGCGCAACCCCGACGCCCCCGTCATGCTCGACCGCATCCTCCGCCTCTTGGCTTGCTACAACATCCTCACTTTCTCCCTCCGCACCCTCCCCGACGGCAAGGTCCAGAGGCTCTATGGCCTTGCTCCCGTTGCCAAGTACTTGGTCAAGAACCAAGATGGTGTCTCCATTGCTTCTCTCAACCTCATGAACCAGGACAAAGTCCTCATGGAAAGCTGGTATATATGTTTTCAACCTACTCTGCTTCTTCTCCCAAGTTTCCCTGTTGTTATGTTCCTTGCGTTTAATTTGTGCTTTATCTTAGGTTTTACCATCAACCTATGCCATTATTAGTAAATAATCTTGTTTCTTTATTAAGCATCAAGTTAGAAATATAATACTTTTTATAAACATTACAAGTCCTTAAATAGAACTAGATATATTGAAATTGTTGTTTAGTCAGAACTAGAGATTCACTCGAACGGCATACATTACAAGAGATTTCATTAAATTTAAAGGTTGATTATTGTTCCAGAATTTCTAAAAAGTTTTACATCACTTTTGAGTTTAGACTAAGTTTAATTTATAAATACTTTCACTCTTTAACCCATGTCAAAAAGGACAATATCTCCTAACATAGACTTATGTAGAAACAATTATTGAAGTGGAATTTAAGTATAACATTTTGTGTATCTATTATATTATACCTAAGTTTTTTCTTTAGGCATTTCATTTGGGCTTTTTTGCTTAAAAAAAGTAGTTTATGGTAGGTTTTCTTATATATTAGAAAGATTATTTTGTTACAAGAAGGGGTGAACAGAAAAAGGAAGGGGGGGTAAGGGATTGGGGGAACTTAGCTCTGTTTATTGGGTGTTGCAGGTTAAAATATAAGGGAGCTGTTATGAAGTCAAAATCTATGAGTGTTAATTATTGATTAACTTATGACTGATAAGGTGGCGTAGGACTTTGGATATAGAAACGGTGAGAAGTTCAACCACTTTTATTATATTAACGACGATTATCCGCAAACATTCTGACTAAATTCAACACCCATAAATTATGAAATTGCAACCGGGACCCATCACTATGAGATTGAGAGGTCACCATTTCACCTACTACCAGATCGAATCACCAATTGTGTGTGAACCAATTTTGTTTGAGGGTTCCAATATGAACAGCGAGACTTATTTTGTCAAGACTAAAAAAAAACCATTGAGTTTCCTACACATGTCTACATGACGTGAGTAGTTGAATGAATATGACGGCTTTGTTAATTGTTAATTGGTGATAAAAGTGAGTCCTTGACTATAATCATATAAAGCTTGATGAAATAGACAACCATGTAAATGAAATACATTTTCAAAAGTCTTTCTTAAATATTTAAAAGTATTTTCTTTTGTTAAAAAAATGAGTAGTTGCAGTATTAGAATTAAAGTATATCTATGCATTACAAATGATAACATTGAAATAAATAAATTAAAGCATATACTTGATTGAGTGATATCGATTTAAAAAAATTGTATCACTATGCAAGGTTTATTATCTTTTATGTTATGCATGAGTTTAGCTATATCTTATTTTTAAATTCAGATTTTATCTAAATTTGACAAGAAAATGAGAAATGTTATTATGGTCATTCGAATAAAATCAAACTAGTTATTAATAAAATTTGAATTGAAATTTTATTTTTTGAAAATCTATAAAAAACAATAAAAAACCATACATGACTATCAAGTGATATTAGTCGTATTTGTATGGACTTTGTTTAATAGTATATGGCTAATTACATGTGTCAACTTCGTTCAAAATGACTTTATGTGATTTTGATATATAACATGTTGCCCGCGCAGAAGGGTGGGAAAAAAGAACTTACAAGTCAGAAGAGTTGGAACATGACACTATTATGTTTACATAATTGAATTAAACTATATGGTAAACACTGATATCAGGGGGGTTGACACGATTGTGTTCTTGTAGGTACTACTTGAAAGATGCAGTTCTTGAAGGGGGAATTCCATTTAACAAGGCCTATGGAATGACAGCCTTTGAATACCATGGAACAGATCCAAGGTTTAACAGGGTTTTCAACAAGGGCATGTCTGATCACTCTACCATCACAATGAAGAAAATCCTTGAGACCTACACAGGCTTTGAGGGTCTTAAATCTCTGGTTGATGTTGGTGGTGGCACTGGAGCTGTAGTCAACATGATTGTCTCAAAATATCCCACTATTAAGGGCATTAATTTTGATTTGCCCCATGTCATCGAAGATGCCCCATCCTATCAAGGTATTTTTAACTTGACATCACCATCATGTAGTTTAGAGGTCCTGCTTGTGTTAGTTTACCTAGCATCGTCATCTTTTGTTAGTTGTCATTGTTATGCATTATGTATCAATTTGAATAATATTGTCTGGTTAATGGTTACCTTACCTAACATCAAAATTGACAATGATGATTTCGTGTAGGAGTGGAGCATGTCGGTGGAGACATGTTTGTCAGTGTTCCAAAAGCTGACGCTATTTTTATGAAGGTGAATTTTATAATATGAATCCCTTTGAATGTCTTACTCTTACCTACTCTAGAAAGGCCTTTAAAGGTTTTCTTTTCTCAGGGTCCTAGTTTTGAACCGTTACTTTTTGACACCTCAAATTCATGTTCCATTTGTTTATGCTAATGACTTTAATATCATTTACTACATTCAGTGGATTTGCCACGATTGGAGTGATGAACACTGCTTGAAGTTTTTGAAGAACTGCTACGAGGCACTTCCAGATAACGGGAAGGTGATTGTGGCGGAATGCATTCTTCCAGTGGCTCCAGACTCTAGCTTGGCCACAAAAGGTGTGGTTCACATCGATGTGATCATGTTGGCTCATAATCCAGGTGGGAAAGAAAGAACAGAGAAAGAGTTTGAGGCTCTGGCCAAAGGGGCAGGATTCCAAGGTTTCCGAGTCCTGTGTTGTGCTTTCAATACCTACGTCATGGAATTTCTCAAAAAGGTTTAAGTTCTTTGGTGTGGATTCATATCAAGTTGTATTTGGGTTTTGAATTTTGAGATTGTGCTTGTGCTGCTACTTACAAAAGCTTTCTCGGAAAAAAAATGTAATTTTCTCTTAAATATATTAGGAAAAGAATAATGAACGAAGTTCAATGTATACAGCCTATACCAAATAACAAGTTTCATGTTGTGGATTATATATAGCTCTGTGTTTTCTCTTTACTGCCAACACTTTTTCCATTGATTAACATTTAACGGGTGTATCACTAGTAAATAATATACTATGGTAATTAAATTCCATTGACCATGGTTATAATTTTCTTTCGTGGAAAATCCACGATCTCTTGAATGAATGGAACGTTATAACAAAGAGCTAACAACATATTTTTGGAAAAAAAATTCAAGGTATTGATGGACAATTCTTTTCTTTTTTGAAGCAGACAATTCTTTTCTTAAAACCAAATTTTAAGATGTTCTCGAGACTTATTCTAATATTTATTAACAAGTTATCTATCATATTATTTATGCATCAAGTTTGATATTATTTTGCATGAGTATTAAAAAAGCATAAGTTTTATATCAACAAAAAAAATTATCTTATTATTAATTAATCTTTTAAGTTGAATTAAAATCAAACTCATGTTGTAAGAAGCATTATTATCGGTTTATTGGGGGACGTTGGTTCTTAGGTTTATAAAAAGATAGTAAGCAACTTATGATACAAAAATTTGAGGAACACTTTCATAATTAACAATAAAGTTCTAAATTGTTGGTTATTTGAAGTTACTGTAGAAAAACAAATATAATTTGAAGAAAGGGAAAAATTATGCTTCAATGAAAAGTAACAGAGACATGCGAAAGTGAGAGAAACCATTTAAGAGATTCAAAATGTACATATAGTCAATGAAATAACTAACCATTAACAACACATTTTTTAGTGAGACCACGATTAAACAAACTTAAAAGAAAAAAATTGAAAAACTATCAAACTCTAAAAACCTAAGAAACTAATTTTGACATATTCAAAACAACATAAATAAGCCGATATTTGCAAACGTGCCAGCAGTTCTAAACACAACAACTAACATACTCCTCCTTGTTCTAGAGACTACAAACTCCAAGTTTCATTCTTAGGGTCTTGAATTTGCTTGTCGTTAAGGGTTTAGTATTAGCTATTTGCTCTTTTGTTTTGTAATGAATAAGAGTCATGACATCATCTCTTTGCACTTCTCTCAAGAAAAACATCTTGATGTCGAAATGTTTAGTTTTCCTATGGAATACTAGATTGTGAGACATAATTATTGTTGATTGATTATCCACAAAGATCTTAGTGTCTTTTTTTTTACTCAAGATTAAGATCACTCAATATCTTCCTCAGCCATAAATCTTGTTTGACAGTAGTAGTTGCAACAATAAACTCTACTTTAGTAGTAGATTGAGTTATTGTTTTGTGTTTCTTTGAACTCCATGAAAAAACTCCAAATCAAAGACTAAAACAATATCTCGAGGTGATTTTCATGTCATTAATGCCCCATGCCCAATCACTATTAAAGAAGCCTAACAACTTGAAATCCTTGTTTTTCTTGAACTTGATGCCAAAGTTGGTTGTGCCTTTGATGTATCTGATCATTCTTCTAGCCGCCTTTAAGTATGTTTCACTTGCACAATGCATGAACTGAGACAAAATATTTAGTCAATATATCAGGTTTTGTTGCTATAAGGTACATTAGACACCTAATAAAACTCTTGAAGTATGCTTCATCCACTTTTTGAATTCCATCTTCCTGGTTGAACTTTTCCTTTATATTCATAGGAGTACTCATTGTCTTGCAATCTTCCATATGAAATTTCTTGAGAATTTGCTTAGCGTACTTCTTATGGCAAACAAAAACTTCATTTTGACTTTGCTTGATCTCCATTCCAAGAAAATAAGTAATCAATACCAAATCAGTTATCTAAAAAACTGTCACCATTTCCATCTTAATATCATCAATTAAGGAAGCATTATATCTAATCATTAAAAGATCATCGACATAAAAAGAAATAATGAAATTATTAAACTCACAATGTTTGATGTAAAAAGTGGACTCAAATAAGGTTTACACAAAGCCTAAACTTAGCAGATGATTATTGATTATGTTGTACCAATATCTTGTAGCTTGCTTCAATTCAAAGCGCCTTCTTGAGAAAATAAACCTTGCCTTATTCTCCTTTCTTCTCAAATCCTTTAGGTTGCTCAACATAAATTTTCTCATGCAAGAAACTATTCAAAAAATGCATATTTAACATCTAATTGATACACTTTTCAACCCATTTGTGCTACAATAACAAGTAGCAACCTGATGATATCTAGCTTGACAACTAGTGTAAATGTGTCTAAATAGTCCACTCTAAACAGTTGAGCATAACCTTTAATCACAAGCCCTGCATTATGTTTATTCATTGAGCCATCTACATTCAGCTTGGTTTGAAACACCCATTTGATCCCAATGACTTTTCTATCTTGAGGTTTGTCTACAAGTTGCCATGTATATATTTTTTTTATTTTTTTTATAATGAACAACTCCTTCATTGCAATCATTTAGTTTTGATCATGTTTTACTTCTTCAAAATTTGTAGGCTCATAAATTGCAATGTTACAAGTATGATAAATATCATAAAGCAGTCTAGTGCCTTCGACTAGAATGTCATCCCACCATCTCATTTTTCCAATCTTCATTAATTTGTTCTTCAAAATTTGTGACAAGAAAATTTGAATAATTTGAGGATTAATTTCTTTACTCTCAGTTCCAGTCTTCGTTTTCCATAAAGTGCGCATCCTTACTTATGACGATACTCCTTGTTTGTGGTTGAAAGAGTTTGTAAGCCTTGGATGTTGTTGTAGCCAACAAAGATACCTTGTATTGCCCTCTTGTCTAATTTATCACACTTAACTTGAGGAACATAGGTGAATCACAAACAACCAAACACTTTTAAAAAGTTTAGAGATGGTTTATATCCATACCATGCTTCGAATGGTGTTAGATTCTCCATTGCCTTTGAAGGAAGTCTATTATGAAGAAAAACTATACAATATTTGTCGCCTCAGCCCAAAATCGCTTTAGCAAATTTTTCTTGTGTAGAATGCATTTTGCCATTTCTAGAATGTATTTGTTTTTTCTCTCACTAACTCCATTTTATTATGGAGTGTAGGGAGCAGTAAACTAGTGTTCTATGCTAGCATCCTCACAAAATGAATTAAATTCTCCTAAGGTTTACTCTTTTCCATTACTTGATTGTAGAAATTGAATGGTGTAACCACTTTGATTTTCCACCATTTTCTTGAACTTCCAAATCACTCCAGCCACTTCTAACTAGAATTTTAAGAAAAAAAATCAACAAAATCTTGTAAATCATCAATAAAGATAATATAGTAAAGACTACCTTTGAAAGATAGTATTCTTTGTGGTCCACATAAATTAATGTGGATTAATTAAAGCTTTTTTGTTTCTCTCTAAGTTGTTTTCAGAAAGGGTTTCTTATGATGCTTTCCAAATTGACATGCTTGACAATTAGAAAGATGGTCTTCTAAATCAGGTAAACCTTTCACTAATTGGTTTGTTTAGGTAAATCTTTCACTAATTGTTTTGTTTGAAGCAATAACAATCCTTATGATGATAGTGACCAACTTCTTGTTCCATATCTTTATGACACTTTCCTTAATAGGAAAAACAACCATTCTCCCTCTAATAGATTAAATGTGAAGTTTTATCCTCTCATCTTGACCTTGAACATTTCTTGACTAGATGCATCTTTTATCAAGCAATATTTGTCTTCAAAATATAATTTGTAGCCTTTCTTCATCAATTGACCAATACTATTTTGGTTAATTTCTGGAACATAAAGAACATTAGAGATAAGTTTTGTATTGAGACAACTTTTGATTGCAATCGTGGCTCTTCCCTTGTCATGAGTCATTTGATTAGTGTAACCACTATCAATTAACCAAATTTCACTTGAATCATTACTTGGGAAACAAGTAGCAACAAAGAGTTGATCCTTCTCCTCTTAATCAACAACTTGAGCATGTGTTTCTTGCTATTGAAATTTTACTTTGCATATTACAATTTCATGACTAAGTTGGTTACACTTGTTGCATTTTGCATCAGGTCTTTTCCAACATTTGAATGAAGGGTGATCCATTCTACCACAATGTTGACAAGGTGGGTAGCTTTTTTTTTTTTACCTTTTTCCTTTGCTATAATTATTTTTAGCATTCTCGTTACCTATAAACTTATTCTTCTTGTAATTTTTCATATTACTCATTCCAACTTCTTGGCTTTTGGCTTGTAAAGCACATTCAATTGTATGATCTTGCCTCATAAGCCTTCATTGCTCTTAGATTTGTAAGGCATGTATGACTTCTACCAAAGTGATCTTGGACAGGTCCTATGTATTCTCCAATGTGGTTATTGAGGCTTCATATCTCTTGGGCACTAAAATCAAAAAAATTTCAACTATTCTAGAATCAACAAATATAGTGTCAAGCAATCTTATCTTAGCAATATGTTTGAGTAACCCTTAATTGTCTCAAACTCTTTTGTTTTTTGCAGCTTGAATTCCCGCATCAAATTCAGAACTTGCATGTCTCAAATTCAGTCATCCTCGCATACTCTTCCTTCAAATAGTCCTAAATTGACTTTGGTGTCTTATGGGTTATGGTTTTAGTACTTATATTCTAAGAAACACTAGCAAATAGACATGACTTTACCTTTGCTTTCTTGATTTTCTCTCTCTTGTGTTTCCTTATTTTGGCCATGGTGGGATTGTCAAGCAATAGAAGTATGTCGTAATTTTCTTCCACAACTTCCCACAAATCCAAAATTTCTTAGTAGGACTTTATTTTTATTGTCCAAAGGTCATAGTTATCCCCATCAAAGATAGGAGGAGCATCATACGAGAAACTTGATTCAACATCCATTTCACAAGTCCCTCAAGAAGAGAGTTATGATACCAATTTGTTGGTTATTTGAAGTTGCAGCGGAAAAGAAAAGATAATTTGAAGGAAGGGAATATTATACTTTAACAGAGAGTAATAGAGATATGCAGAAGTGAGAAAGATATTATTTAATTGATTCAAAACGTACATATATAGCCAATAAAATAACTAACCACTAACAACACATTTTCTAGCGAGGCCACGATTAAACAAACCTAAAAGAAAAGACTGAAAACTATTAAACTCCTAAAATCTAGGAAATTGACTTTGACATATTCAAAACGGGTAATTGCAAACGTGGCAACAGTTCTAAACACAATAGCTAACATAAACTTAACACATTTTTCCTCACTTCTCTTGGACCAAGAATGCATGCATGGGCAGCATTAAGAAAATTTGAAGGTTCAACATAAGAATATTACATGACATTTTTTTGTCTTCCTACCATAAAGCTACTAGAACATGATTGCTTGTGGGGTCTTATGCGACTTCCTTCACACAAAGCAGAAGAATAAGCAGTCCAGTCTTGCAGCTATATCAACACACAGAAATGATGAGCATTTGACATAAAAGTTATGTAACCAACTACAATTTGTAACAAGCAAATGGATTAACAATTAAACGGCAAAAGCAGCAAAATGTTAACAATAACACTGAGCTTATTGTCCAATACCTCCCTCCTTCTTTATCATTATTTTAGTTCTCTCCTTAAAGGTTACTTGTTCTTGAAAAGTTCCAAACAATGTTCTTGCTCCAAGTCCCTGCTCCAGAACTTCTTGTAGTATTCTGCATATGTATATCCTCTGTATATGACATTGGATCCATCTTGTGTGAGTGGTTTTGCAGGGCTTATCAATGCCTCATCATTGGGACAAAGAAATGAAGCCACAGAAAGTCTTGGCTTATCAACATTGACAACAGCACGGTGCCATACACTCTTATAAAGCCCGTTACTCAAAGCCTGCAATCACTCAAGGTAATATCAAATTCGTTGTTATAGTTAGTGTTGTCATAATTCTAAAGACAAGGAGCATTGCAACATTTTCACTTTGTTCCCCCAGTTTTCCCTCATTGTATTTGTGTCTCCCTCTTTCAATTTCCTATGAAGATGAAACTAAAATTGTCCTAAAATTATATAAACTTAATCTTCCCTTTGCAAAAAAATAATTGCTCTTGTAAAATCATGTCATCTCTTATCATATTCTAGGCTTTGCTATATGCTTTTATCCAAATCCCAATCAAGGTGATCATGTGTTCAATTGTTTCGGATTCAAGATAAATTAAATTTAAACTGACCAAATTTAATTGGGCTAAATTAGTTAAAAGTTTTTTTTAAAAAAAAATTGGCCTATCCAAATTAATCGACCCAAGATTGAATTGATTTGTATTGAATTTCGGGCTGTGATAAAAAAATATTATATTTTAAAGTTAATTATATTCTATTTTATAAAAAATTATTTTATATTAATGCAAGGTAAAAATATTTTTTATTCTTAATGACTAAATTATTTTATTTAAATTTTTTTTATAATAATAATAATTATTACTTGATATATCTCATTAATTTATTTACTCAAAATTTGATGAAAGAAGTTTCATAATAAAATATATCACATTTTTTTTAGTAAAGTTATTTTCTTAAAGTGATCTTTGTAACATTTGTTTTATAATTGTTTTAGTCATTGTATTATCTTATTCTATTTGAGTTAGTCTCATTAAAAAAAAATAAATCAATGAGACTAAAGGTAAACTATTCACATATTAAAAAGATAAAAACAAAAAATATATATATATTACAAAGATTAAAATAAAATAATATGAACTAAAATATTTTTAAAAAAATAACCGTTTAAAAAATAATATAAAAGGAATAATTAAAGAGATAAAAAGTATATTGAGTCTAAAAAATTTATTAAAAAAATGATTGGTTAAGTTATCAAATTGATTCAGATTAAAAAAAATGGAGAACCGGACTGATTATAATTGATTTGAAACTGAAAATAACTAATTGACCTAATCACCCCAAAGCAATTTAAATGATTTAGTTTGGATCCATCTAAACCTAACCACAAGTAATTGACCTTATCTAATGATCAAACTAGACCAAAAAGCCAAAGTCATAAAACCCACATGGGTGTAGGCCATTCGCCAGACTAGGCTCCACTAGAAACATAAAGCAGACATGCAATGTGAAAAGCTAAATATAATTTCCAAATACAGGTCATCATTTATTTATGTGTAGCACCCCTTTTCATTCTATTAAAAGTATCAAATCATATGATAAAGAAAGGGTAAAGAGATTCCCAAAAACTAAAAAGAAAAATCACGTGACGAAATCAAGACTTAGTTTTAGTTTATGTTGCTAGTTGCTAGTTGCTAGTTGCAAGACATTATGAAATGAGGTAAAAAGTAAGTTAGTTACCTGCAGTTGATCACCTATGTTAATGACAAAGGCTTGAGGATGGGGACTAATTGCGACCCATTTGCCATCTTTGAGAACTTGAAGGCCCGAAACATGCAAGTCTTGGAGCAGAATTGTGAGTGCATTTGGGTCAGTGTGCCCTGGCAATCCATATGTGAGTTCTGGCTCTGGGCATGGTGGATAGTAGTTCACAGCCATGTGTTGCCCTTGTTCCCCCAAAACATTCTTTATGTAATCTTTTTCAAGGCCCAAACTCTCTGATATGTATTCTTGTATTCTCAACCCCAATTCCCGAACCACTTTGCAGTATTTTGTTACACTTTCCCTGCCAATGCCAAACCAGTTATCATCTCACAATTGGGCCGCAGGCCCATTGCTAAACAATTCAACAAAAATAAAAATAAAAACAAATCCGGTAGTGTTATAGTTGTTGTACAATGTACACAATTTTAGATCAGTATAATTAAAAACCAATAAATAATTTAAAATAATACCACGATGGACAGGTGTAATATAATTTGAGAAATAGCATTATAATTTGTTAAAAAATAATTGTGGACCAACTAAATTCGACATGTTTCATGTGGGCCATGATGAAACTTTTCAATCATAAAGTGTCTGGTCCCTTTACCTACCTGGTTTCCTGTATTTTGAAAAATATTTTTTTTTTTATTAAAGTAACAATTCCTCAATTTATTTTTTATACATTTTCGACCCAAAATAACTTTTCAACTTTTTGAATTAAAAGTATTACTTTTTTTTTTAGGAAATTAAAAGTATTACTTAATCCTTATATATATGAATTGACTTGAACGTGTTGAATAATTCATTAATTCAACATATTACATCCTCACTTTTCTAGACTGTCTGCGCAAATATTTTTTTTATTTATCATAAATCAAATTTTACTAAAAAAAATTGAATATAAATTATGATAAATCTCATATTTCATTTAAAGATTTTTTCTGATTTAGTGGTGAGAATATTTATAATTTTAATACATTTTGACTAATAATTAAAATGTAAAAAAAATTTAAAAAATTTAAAAATTGTGACTAGCGTACTTAAAAAGGGTAGATGTTGTTATGTTAGGGTAGTACTAGTGGGGTTAGGGAGAGGACAAGCATCAGATCTAGGAATGACAAAAATACCCGCGGTCGCGAGTATTTGTGGGTAAATTCCGCTACAGATAATAAATGGATAGGTTAGTTGAGTACCCGTGAATAATGGGGACGGATAATTTTTTACCCATTTATAAACGAGGGGGTGGGTATGATGATATCCATACTGCGGGTACCCGTTTAATAATATTTTTTAAATACCCTAACTATCTTTGTATTACATAATTTTAAAACTATACTCTCTCATCTTATTTTCTTACAAAAGTGAGGTTAATGAAATTAACATGTGTTGAGCATGTTATAAAATTATGTTGGATGTAATTTGATTAATTTTCTAGCTTTGATTGAACCAATAAGATTTATGTATTTTAAGTTATTTACTCCTGTTTGGAATTATATGATTGAATTATTATAGCTTTGTGATGAGACTTTAACTTATTTATGAGATTGATGTATTTTAAGTTATTGATTATCTTGTATTTTTATTATTATTTCAACAAAATTAACATTAAATACGAATTCAAAATTAACACTGAATTTTTATTTTTAATATTTAAATGACATTAAATATAAATTTAAAATTATTTATAATATAATTTTTTTTAATTTTTTAAAAAATTTATAAATATCCACGAATATCCGTAAGTATTTAAAAATTTATAAATACTTACTTAATAGATACACGCGCAAATATAAAATGAGTATAAAACCAATTTTTATCTAATAAGACAGGGGTGAATCTATTATTACCCGGCCCTGTAGGTCCCATTCTCGTTCCTAGATAGATCTGAATATGTATCATTAGAAAGGTTGCGTCAACACGCAAACATCCGCTGACGTCACTGCTAATTTAATATCCACGTCACCGCCAAATTTATGCCTTATCATCAACAAATATGTAATAGAAGATCCCGTAGTTAACCTTTTCGAATGTTATATTTTCTTAACGTCAATTCCCACCGCATATTATATATATTAATTAAATAGTGATAGGGGTCAAATTACATCGTTAAGTTTTGGAATCATTATATTGTTTAATAATTTTATATTAAAAATATATTTTTATTGATTTACTATTAAATTAAAATATTACTTTATTTTGAATATTTATATCAAATTTGTGTTAAAATTAGATAATAATAAGAAAGTGATAAAATTATTTATATTTTAGTGTATTTTAAAAAATGTATCACATTAATTTTGATTTATATAAATGAAATATTTCATAATTTTATATTAATATAAAATTATATATATATAATTTATGTAAAAAGAGATTTTAATCAATAGTTTGATTGAGTTATATAAAATTATTAAATAATATAATAATTATAAAAGTTACATCATTTTCTCTCCATTATATATAAGATTTTTTTTATCGATTATAATTTTAAAAAAACTTGATTAATTTAATTAATAATAGTAATAAATTATTCAATAAATTAAATTTATATTTTAATTTAACTTTAATATTTTTTAAATTAATTTTATCTTTTCGCTTAAATATTTTTTACATACTTAATGTTTAAAAATTATTCCTACTCATCTTCTCCAATCATAATAAGAGAAAAATAATAACCGATCTCAAATATAAGGAGAAAATAATTGTAATCATATTAGTTTCAAATATAAATAAATTTTAATTAATTATTCAGTTTAATAATAAAATATTTTGAAAAATACTATCCATTTAATTGATATTGTATTTTATATGATTTTTTAAAATAAAATTAGTGAAATTAAATGATATTAACTACAATTTTTTAGTTAGAAAAAATTAAATTCTTTTTTCTATATTCGAAACTAAAGTGAATATCTTATTAATTTTTAGTATTTATTAAAAACTATTAATTAATTAAGAATACTTTATTGGCAGTATAAATTAAGAATATATGTAAAAAATAATTAAAAAATTCTTATAAAAGGGGAAAAAATGAAATAAATATTGTTTTATATATAAGGACAACGTTGTACCCAATACTTTATTGTAAAATACAAATTTAATCATTAAAATTTTAAATAACAATATTTTACATAATTTTACATAATAAACATTAAATAATTTAAACATTGGTATCAAGTTTTTTTTAGATTCTTTTAAAATAATAATATTTACTTGGATTTAAATTTAGACACGTCAATTTTTTATTCATTTCACTTGCTTTCGAGTTTTGTCTCCCACTTCTCCACCTAATCTTTCCTTAAAATTTTTATAAAATAAGACTCTAAAGTCAAGAGAATTACGTTTACAATCAAGAGTTATGGTAGTCTTTTTTTATTAATTATTATACGTGATTACTATTTTGTCTTCTTGCCATCATCTTTTTTTTTTTTTTTTAGTGTATTTTAAAAAATGTATCACATTAATTTTGATTTATATAAATGAAATATTTCATAATTTTATATTAATATAAAATTATATATATATAATTTATGTAAAAAGAGATTTTAATCAATAGTTTGATTGAGTTATATAAAATTATTAAATAATATAATAATTATAAAAGTTACATCATTTTCTCTCCATTATATATAAGATTTTTTTTATCGATTATAATTTTAAAAAAACTTGATTAATTTAATTAATAATAGTAATAAATTATTCAATAAATTAAATTTATATTTTAATTTAACTTTAATATTTTTTAAATTAATTTTATCTTTTCGCTTAAATATTTTTTACATACTTAATGTTTAAAAATTATTCCTACTCATCTTCTCCAATCATAATAAGAGAAAAATAATAACCGATCTCAAATATAAGGAGAAAATAATTGTAATCATATTAGTTTCAAATATAAATAAATTTTAATTAATTATTCAGTTTAATAATAAAATATTTTGAAAAATACTATCCATTTAATTGATATTGTATTTTATATGATTTTTTAAAATAAAATTAGTGAAATTAAATGATATTAACTACAATTTTTTAGTTAGAAAAAATTAAATTCTTTTTTCTATATTCGAAACTAAAGTGAATATCTTATTAATTTTTAGTATTTATTAAAAACTATTAATTAATTAAGAATACTTTATTGGCAGTATAAATTAAGAATATATGTAAAAAATAATTAAAAAATTCTTATAAAAGGGGAAAAAATGAAATAAATATTGTTTTATATATAAGGACAACGTTGTACCCAATACTTTATTGTAAAATACAAATTTAATCATTAAAATTTTAAATAACAATATTTTACATAATTTTACATAATAAACATTAAATAATTTAAACATTGGTATCAAGTTTTTTTTAGATTCTTTTAAAATAATAATATTTACTTGGATTTAAATTTAGACACGTCAATTTTTTATTCATTTCACTTGCTTTCGAGTTTTGTCTCCCACTTCTCCACCTAATCTTTCCTTAAAATTTTTATAAAATAAGACTCTAAAGTCAAGAGAATTACGTTTACAATCAAGAGTTATGGTAGTCTTTTTTTATTAATTATTATACGTGATTACTATTTTGTCTTCTTGCCATCATCTTTTTTTTTTTTTTAAGTCAACTTCTTGCCGTTATCAAGTCTTATAAACTTTTAGTTTAAAAATAATAATACATATTTTAAAAGATATATTATTTAAATATTTAAATATTTTCACATAATTGTCTTTCTTTTTTAATTTCTTA